TCCTGGGACCCACTGTACGTCCTCGATTGACACGTTGCCACCTGAATAACGTGAAGCGGTGTGACCCGCGTCGCGCAGAAAATCTTTTTCTGCCAATAAAGTCTCGAGTTTCGGCACGAAGGAAGAATTGAGAAGTCGGTGGGATGCAGTTGGTCGTCGGAGGAAAAGCGGCTTTCGCGCAGACTTGCTCATAAGACTGCCGCTGTTCTAGAAATCCAGGGAATTTCCCCCAGCGGGATGAGGTTTATCGGGAAGCTCTTTTCTCGCGTCTCCAGGCACTGAGTGCGTCAGATAAAGGTTCCTATAGCATTTCGGATTCACGAACACTTTCATCCGAATGAGTATATGCGTACATGGTACAAGATCTTCTAAGGTCAATATCAAAGTCAATATTTCGAAAAGCCTTTCCCAATTAATTGGATGGACCTGATAGCAGAGCCATATAAAAAGTGCTTGTGAAGCATCCGTGGATCAAGAATGGTCTTTCTAACGAACTGGCGTGCTGTGTATTTTATCAAGGTTTCCTGTTTCAAGTATAGCGATTTGTTTCTCATAACTTCTACAATTATGTTCTGCACACAGAACATTTTTCCGTTCTTCATCGAATTTTCTTTCAAACAGCTCCGCGATTTAAAATTTTGTGAAAGAATTTGAAATATTCATGGGTGTCATACGGTCATTTTAAAAATTGCATCATATTTATACAGACGAAAATTAAAGACACTCTAATATTACTATAAAAATGAACAATTTGGAAACTTTTCGTTATTGTGCGAATGATGGCATGATCAAAAATTTGTTTTTTTGAAAAAAAAAAATTGAACTTGAACGCTCGAATTGTCAAATTTTTCCATCGCCACTTGTTTTTATCGTTTCTTTACAAAAATTCCCCCTGCAGTCGTATGTAATTTAATTTTCAATATGCTGCCTAAAATGATGTTGAAGTTTAAATAGTTCCTCTTCAAGAAACACACGTATATACATACTCTCTCATTTAATCTCTCCAGATTTAAGCTGCTGTTCAATATTGAAAGAAATGTTATGAACGCAAAAAAATTGCATGTAATTTTATGCATTCCTCGGTCTCTCTCTCTCTCTCTCTCTCTCTCTCTCTCTCTCTCTCTCTCTCTCTCTCTCTCTCTCTCTTTCATAATGAGAACATCGTCTAATCCTGGCAACACTTGATATCAAAGTTTATGAGCACTCCATCTTCCTGATTTTGCCCATGATTCTTTCACATTGAGGAAACGCTTACCAATTGTTTCCATCATTTTTCGTCTGAATCCCGATTTTTAAAAATTAGGTTGAATTATGAAAACTGTTTTTCCTTACCACTTGGAAATGAGTTATCTTCGGTGGCCGTAAAGGCCTGTCGAAAGCCAATATTAATCCCGTAATACAGTATTCTGAAAGCTTTACGCAGGAAACCTCTTTTCCGCTTTCAGAGGAAAGTTACCGAACAATTTTGAATAATTTTAAAAGTGTGAAGGAAGAATCACGGTTGTCATTATCAGCCAGAGTGATCTTTTATTGGTTCCAAAGTTGTTTTCGGAATATTTACAGGTACAATAAATATTCGCGCACCACATTCATGTTGAAGCTTCAATTAGGTACTTTCCCTGCGGTACTTTCATAAAAAATATGAAGAATCCGTGTCGAGAACTTTAAACACTCTAATAGTGAATAATTTTATGAATTTTTGAAGGATCATACCAAGCAAACGGTGTCAAATCTTTTGAAGCACCCATTGATGGTCAAATTCCATGCTCCAGCAGGGTTCGTCACTGGCGCAACAGCATTCACAAGGGAACAGAAGAATTGCTCACTTTTTGAAAACGTTGGAATTTAAAACTTATACTTCACCGTAGGCCCCACCACGAGAATTATAGACGGTTCTGTGCCAGAACCTTTCAAGATTTCCCAGAAAACTTGTGTCCAGCAATATGCAGGAATTTGAAAATGCATTGGTGTGGAGATATTTTTACTATAAGGGGTTTTCAAACTCTCGAGATAATGTTACAATGGAAGTTCGTAACCTTTTGAGTAACAGTCAGGAGATCGCCAATTGAGCAACTGCTTGGTGATTTATAAAAAAAAATCTATCTTTCAAATTTGAAGCAGCACAAATTTGAGATATTGTTGCAAATGCATCCGCATTACTCAAAATTGAACTCTTGGATGCGCAGGGTTTTTTCCATTGCATGATGAATCAATTACATTTCTGCATATCTTTTTTCGAATCATTTTGCCAAGAATTTTAGGAAAATTTTCTGGATTTTCCTTTCGAGGGCTGAGAAAGTTCGGCCCATACTCGATTTTCACAATAAGCAAAGATCGCATCACTATTTCAGAGCTAATTTTTTTTTTATGTGATAAAAGGTTGCCGATTGGCCAAATAAATATGGTGTTTTACGTGGGAGATCTTCGTAGAAATTTTTCGAAGATAGAACAATTATTTGCTCGTACACGCACTGCGTTTAAATATCCCTCGAAAATTTTCATTTGTATTTTCCAATCTCTTTCCATTTACAGAGGATGACTTTAGTCGGAAGGATATCTCCGACTCCCGCCTACGGCAGAATCAATCGATTTTTTTTCCAGATGACTTCATCAGTCGTTCCTCGGCAGTTTTCCTTCAGGAAAAACACCAAGTTGGAAATTGTGAGTGACTCTACGACGCGATTCTCTGTCGATTTTCTTTTTTAAAGTGAGCGAGAAAGTAAATGCATTTCCGGTGAACTCATTGCTCCCGAAGAGAAATCACATTGCTGCGTGGAGACAAAAAGAAAGGAAACCCCGTTTATTCCCTGCTATAGTACCCATCCCGTTGCCCTGATAAAGGTGCATGTGAGGATTACGCAAAGCCCGAGAGCGCGTAACTCATCCCGCGGGAAGAGCCGGAAAAACGGGTCTTCTTCTTTTTTTTTTTTTCAGCAGAAAAATAAAACACCTCTTGGTATTTTTTTTAAAGTCTTCCTCACGTACTAGGTGATTTTGTGCAAGGCACGTTTGAAGCGTCTTTTTACGCAAGTACGGGAAAGTCAAATGAGATTCTGTCGCGTATTCAGCAGGGATAAGGGAATCGCCTCTTTGTCTGGATCACGAAGTTTGGTGGGAGCACCTGATCAACTTTTGATCTGTTTCTTCATTTTGCCACGTTTTCCTGAATGTTTTTTTTTTCGCGTTGGGCACAGCTTTCCCAATTCACTGTAATTTATTCACTCGAATATAAGACTTATGTTTACCCCCCGCAAAAACTGCGTTAAAAAGTTGGGATGCCTTCTGACGTGGATCTGATGGCGTCGTATATGTTGTATAGCAAGCAAGTAAAAATCAATGAATGCTTCTGCCTCAAACTTCTTCTTAGAAATGCACGCATATATCCATAATTTCATAAAATATATGGCCTAATGTACTTTCCATTCAAATGGGAAAAAGTGGAAAACTGATTTCTGTTGGAAGCATTTACTGCACTGTATTTGCAGAGAGTAAGCCAGCAACCAAAACATACGCATAATTAACGGAAGTCCTGATTTTAAAAGAATCCCATTCTATCTTTCATGGATATTTCATTTTTTAGATACTTAAAAAACACTTTTTATAAAATTTATAAAGCCATAATTTTACTTGTGACTGTCCGTTTTACCTTTTATGATTTCTGAATAATTGGCAATGTAATTAATTTTTATTGAACCTAATTGTGAGGCGTAAATGGTAGATCAGTCCCGCACGTAATTTAGTGTTGTCAATTTTTAAAAACGTTAGTACGTAGTCGTCTTATGTTAATGAGGGATATATAGTTTGAAAACTTGCCCCAAAAAAGAAATTATTTTAATTTAGTCAACTGAACATCATAAAATGTCAATTCAAGAGAAATTCGTAAACTTTCTCCAAAATTTGAAGTTAATCAAGGCGTTGGTCCAAGAATACATATTTTTGCGTTCTTTCATCGAAAATTTTTTTTGCACAAGTATTAGGTATTGGTTGATGCTAAAAATCCATGTCAAAGCAAAGGTCTAGCAATGCATCATCATTGCAAGGTATCAGTTCCTTTTTTTACCTATAGTGACTTGCAAACAAGTGAAGACGAAGAATTGTGGTTCACTTGGGAAACCTTGCAGCAGGAAAAGCAGTAAAATTTCCTTCCACTAAATGATCACAGGATAACGTGTCCCTTAGCAATAAACACCCCACAAAACATACCACTGTCATGCCAAAAAATAAATAGAGGCGTTGTATATATAAAGTACTGGGTAAATTTGCGAAAGATCGACGAATCGTCACTTGTGAGTACAGGAATGGCACATTGCATCCGTTCCCCAGAGCAGCTGCAACGAAACTGTTGGGGCAACACGTCCGAAATCCAAAGCACGCTTTTCCTGCCTTGGAAACGCGGGCTGCATCCTTTGATGTTTCACGGGGTTCCTGTGCTCAGATCGGGTCGCATCCGGACGCGTGACTCGCACTTCCGGAAGAAGCAAAAAGGTGTAATTTTATTTATGCAGGAGAATAAGATTTTTGCAACAGTCGACAGAGTGAGAAAAGCGTCGGAAGGTCAATGCAATATAATATACGAGGGGTTACACGGTTCTGCGCGGATCAGCTTGTTGCTGTTGTTCTCCGGGAAAGCTTCAAAATTTAACAATTGAACGCTTGAAAGCCTCTTTCAACTCATGGAACAAAAGGGCTGAGGAGTGTGTACAAATTGGTGCTGATGACATTGAGAAGGCGTCTGCCAAGACTCTTGGAACTAGTGAACATGAGAAAAATGTTTTTAAATATCCCTGGTGTTCAGTATATAGTTTAGATCATTTCAAGTCCGCGCCGAAACAAGTCCACGCGGAAACGTGTAGCCCCTCATATAGATATTTCGAAGGTACAAAAAAAATTGATAACTGATCCATAACATCATTCTGTAGAAATTGGATTTTTGAACTGAAAGAAATTCTTCGTTTTCTTATTGAGAAAAAATTCAAGAGGAAATTTCGTCCGGGGAAATGATGGCGACGGTCCTTCCGATTGCTTTGCCCGCGGCGAGTTCATCCAAGATTGAATTGACCTCCTCAAACTTTCTGATTTGCGGACGACTCGCGATTTTTCCTTCGGCCAGGAAATCCATGGCCTCCTATTAAATAAAACGGACGATATGAACGATCCGATTAGTGAAGTTTGCAAGATTTTTTTTTCATTCGCTGGAAGTTTTATCCGAGTTCAAGATATTCAACTACTGTAGGTGGAAAGAATCTCACTAAACTCAGCTAGATGAATCGTCTCTACAATTATATTACCTTTCAATGTGGCATCCTCCATCGAACAGCAATTTTTGTGTTTCCTGCAGATCTTTTATCAATTTTAAAGAATTTGCACATGTAAAGGCCTCAATACAGCCGCACAAAAAAAAACTGCTCGAAAACTGTACCTCTGCAGCTGTTTATACTCGGAATATTGGAATACTTTAAAGAAAATGTTAATAACGTTTTTGAAAGGAAAAATGCATTCAAAATGGGTGTGTGCTGGATTTCAAATGTTCACGCACAGACAGTAATCCTTGATTCTGGTCATCTATGAATTCTTATGTTGCCTATAGACAGTACTAAAAATAAAATAATGAAAATGAATGTTTAAAAACTATGATCTCAAACTTCATCCGGAACAAGTCTTTCTCAATTATTGATGTCAAAAGTTTCCACTGGAAAAATTCCTCACTGCATTTTTTCCGATTGCTGCTCATCATCGAGCTTTTTCAAAAAGCGATAAATAAATTTCACATCTTTTTCATTATTTTCTTGCGGCATTTCCGTGGAAAATGTTGGTTCATGCACTTTTTTCTTTCAAATTTTGGGCCCTGGCTGCAGCCGGAGCGACGTTTTTTTTTCATTTAAACAAGCTATTATGTTACTTTCATTTAAATTCAAGATTACGGGAAAATAATGACATTTGACGACATACTCGAAGGTCTGTCACGGTGCCAACTAGGGATCCCCGGATCGTGATCATTCGAAGAGCTAGAGTGACAGTGTCAACCTTGATTGGGTCAGGTGCTAGTCCGACCACAATGACTGTGCCACGTGTCCGGACCAAAGTCAGAGCATTCTCAGTTGCCTTTGCAGTGGATGCAAAAACTATTGCTGCGTGAGCCCCGAGCCCACCGGTCAACGACAGAACCTGAAAATTAAAATTTTTAAATGTATAAATAAATATATAAGCATTGGAGTAATCAAAGTTATAAATTATGAGTGCAGGGAAATTCTTATTGTGGGCCGATTGGTATCCATCATCACGTCATCATAATCAAAGCAGAGTTCTGGGAAATTGTGCACTTACTATATAATGATAATCGCGAACTTTTGGTTTCTTTCAATATTTTCCTTTCATCGTTTTACGATGAGGAAGGATATAGGAAACGATTCAGCGCATATGCATTTCTTAGACTGCTTACTTCAATAATCAAGACAAAAATCCCAGCTCTCATCAAAAAGTGAATGTTGAAAATAAAAACGTGAAAAGCATAGATTAAGAGGTACAATCAATGAGAAAGTTTACGACATTTTTGGCTTGACGATGTGTGTCATTTTCTCTGTAAATTGCGTGAACCGTTTTTGGAACTTATTAGGCAATGAACATTTGTTTGCTGATATAAGTTTAATGCATCAAATATTTTCAATATTTATTGTTTCGATGAAACGCAATTTTTCTTTGCCTGAAACCAAGGCAATGCTGGTACTCCGCACCTTTTTTGCAAATAGGTTCCATTTTGGATTTTTATGTGAGTTCGATTGAACAAGACTGAGTAGACCACATCTAAATTGGGGGAAATCAATTATTGGGAATAAGTTTCTTGTATTTTCATGCCAAAAAAGGAGGTGATTATCTCAATCAAGGGCATATGGTACTTCGGTAAATGCTGTGAATTTATCTCAACTTGAATCAGGAATTTTCATTCTGCGTTACCTTTCCTCTGCAGTCATCAGTTTCCACATCCACTGCAGTTATCCCTTCAAACTTCTTCAAAGACTCAATCTTTTCAGCTCCTTTATCTGCAAAGAAAAACACCAAAATGACAGAGTAGCCCATATTTCCAAAACCAAACCCACATTAAAAGCTTCAGAATTCAAGGTTTCAATTTCATCAAATTAATGACAGTACGTTTCGTGCAGAATTTTTGCGTAAACCACGACTTCTATTTCTCCAGTTTAATGAGTAATTTTCCATCGTCAAAAACGTTCAAAGACCATCATCTAAGAAATCAGGTCATGCTAAAGTGATTATTATCCATCGTGTTTAAACAATCGACGTCATTGAGGTCTCGCACTGGAGACAATCCCAAAGAAGCAAAAATAATAATTCTCGAAATATAAAAGAAAAAACGGTATCTCACCAATGCCGACCACTTTCAGACCCATTGCAAGGGCGTACTGAACAGCATAATTTCCAAGGCCTCCTGCTGCCCCCAGAATTACTACAGTTTGCCCAGCCCTGAGGCCACTTTGTTTCAATGCTTTGTATGCGGTCACTCCAGCGCAACAAATTGGCGCTGCTGATTCGTCTTTTACTCCGTCAGGTACAAGGACTGAAAATGAAACTCGTCGTAACTCAATCATCTCGGCGAACTGCATGATTTCGATTGCTCAAATTTGTTCACTTTTGGATGTAGATAACTTATTGGAGATTTTTTTTATTTTCACAGAAAATCCATTCGAAAATGCTTCTATTTTATTGAATTCTCAGCGTTTCCTACGCTGCAAACTCCTGAATTCACTAGCTGGCTAAAAAGAGGTAAAATGTATCTCTTTTTTAATACCATGGGATTTATGCAAATGGACTTAATTAAAACATGCGGTAGATTTTATTATTAAGGCGGTAGGATTCGTAGCCAGAGGAAAATGACCCATAAGACTTGAATACAATAATGTAGTGTACTTAGCCAAGTTTTGCGTGAGTAATATTCCAGGTGGATCAGCAGGAAAATTCAAGAGACAAACAAGAAAAGGAGGAAATAATTTTCAATTAGTCGTAGAAGTTGTTGTTACCTATTGTCAACATCGACTGAAACGTGGTCATCATGTCGATTTCAAGAATTGTGAAGAACCTCAGCTACACACAAAATAATCTACGATAGATGTGCGCCAGATTTGATTAATAAGTGTAAAGCTGCCCAGGGTGACTTTTGCAAAAAACTTTCCGCGAAATACGTCAAACAGAACTGCATTTCTTTTCTTGTGACAAATGAATGTTTTTTATGAAAATTGGGCGTTTTCCCGTTCAATCCTATGCCATTTCGATTTTTATCTGTGGACGTTTGTTAGACCCCTCGTATTTCGGGTGGTGTCTAAATTAATTTCTGGCATGCATTCAATCGCGAAAGTTTTGTTTTTCGAGAAGCACTGGGTGTGACCGTTTCACCCACACTCATATTTATCCAAATCTAGTTGAAGGTTTTCATTTTTGCTGAATAATTGGAGTAGACGAAATACCGAGGAAATTTGCATCGCCCACGTAGTATTCGGCAAGAGTGCCTGGTGTCATAAAACCAGAGAGCTTGAGTTGAGTACAAGCGACTCCCCAACCC